GTTTCTCTTCTATATGTATCCTTTTGTGGTGTTTCAGAGCCTGAGAAATACTAAAAGATGCACCACAATCATCACACTTGTAAGGCAGTACTATATATATCCTCTTGGGTCTGTCTATGCTGACAACTGGGTCACGAATATCAGATGTGTATGGTGCATCCATTGACTGCATTCTTTGATTATAGCAATTGACATAAGCAGCAGTATCATAAAGAGACTTCACTGATGACTGTGTAAGTGTCACTACCGTGTCTAGATTTTGTAACTGACAATTCTCATTAGTCACAGACAGTTTCCTATTAATTTCAGTCAGAGAAAACATATTTTCTGATACTTGACAATTTTCACTATTTACTGAACTATCCTCAGTCAATGTTGATTCTGTATTACTATGTGCATCCATACAGGTCATATCTTCCATTTGACTGAATCTTTTGTCTTCATACAATATGTCTGGTAGTTCTTGTTCCACACGTTTTATGTTATCGCACATTTCCCTTTGGGAATGCTCTTGTATTGAGATGACAGAATTGCTTTCAGATGATGTATGTACACCTGAAATACACAACAGAAAACAAAACTGGTTAAAAACAAAATACACCAGGTAATAAACATGTTTAGTACAGGTATGGTACATTTTAACATGTCTTCTTGCAACCACTTCTTTGATTTACAAATATCAACAAGTTCTTCTGGTGAAAGTGACCCTTTTTTCTTGGAGTTTCTATTTAGATCAATACAGCTTTGAATATGATGTTGACTAACTGGGCCAATATTCCTTCACTAACGGTCTGTACAAGGGACAGTCTTGCAGGGCAAAGTGTTAACTGAGTGAATGTGAATGGAAGAATTGCTGTATTCTCTATGATCAATACTTACTCTGTAAGTAAACTGATGAGCTGTACTTTACTTAATGTTACATAAGAAACATTTACCTACTGTAGACCAATATAAAAACAGATCTTACTGTGTGTTTATGTTATCATGGGGAATCTTCCTTAATTAAACCTTTCTATATCAATCTGTAAGCAGTTGATGCAACAAATGATACACGCATTTCAATATGTTCATAAATGAGTTTGTGGAAACAATTTTTAGTATTTATGGAAAGTCCAATCCTGTTCATGAACTTAGTGTCCTGATACCGTTTGTGGTAAGGGTAAAATCATAGCAGGCTCACAAAGAAAGCATCGGGCATATATGCAGAACCCAACATACACAGCCTGATGTACAAAGATAATATGCAAAAGAGCAACGATGAAGATGTACCACATTATTTTTAAATTCTTTTTCTTGTGTTTGCTTGAAATATATCATCTGTAATTCTGCTTCTTCTTTTGTTCGCTTGAAACAAATTAACTATATCTGCAGTGCTGTCTCTAGTATAAACTTCATTATCTTTTATAATTCACTCGGCGACCGATAAAGTTGGGCTTGTACCAGTGTTTCTCTTGGCTTACTAGTATCATGCAATGATCCACCCTCATAGCTAAAATGCTTAAAAATTTGGATAGCAATAAAATTCTACTAACTGAACATGATGTAATGTTTATTTCAATATTTTTTATTTTTTTTTTTCTTACCTTGTGCTGGGTAATCTATGTATACTTCAGGTTCTGTTTTAATATTTGCTGGTATTTTACTCCCCATCTCATCAAAGATTGGGATCTCCGGAAGAACTGATTTTGCAGAAACACGAACACAGTCAGTCTGAAAGGATCGAAGAGTGACATAAATAATCAAACATAAAGTATATAAATGCATGTGACGCAGGTCCATCGTGCGGACAGTTACCTTCACAACTGTCCTGGAAAAATGCTGGTGTTGTTAGCAATGAAAGAGTGGAAAGCAACACACTCAATTCTTCTTTCTTTACTCTACTCCTGGAATGCCTCATGGCGACAGGACAGGACACTTATTTCGTGTAGCTATCAAAACCCCAAGTATGCAGCCTACCACCTGCTTTCTTCTAAAGATGCACGAGAAGGTAAATAAACAGAAGTAAAGTTAGTCAGAAGCAGGATATGATGATTCCAACAGTGAGCCCAGTACTGGAGCACCATGCCTGAACATAGATATTTTTCAGGCTCATTTTAAAATGTTAGCAACAGACTGGTTTATACAGACAGCAAGTATCCACCAGGTATGGAATTCAGTGGACCCCTACAGAATAGCCTGATGATCTGACTAACAACATGTCTCTACTATCCCACTCACAGAACAAGATGTAAGATAAATGAAATATATTTGATCAGAGATCACAACAATTCAGACTAATTGTAGGAATAAAAATCCACACATGTTGAATTAAACCGAAAAAATAAGTAGAATGTTTTTACACTGGCATAAGTTGATTGAGGGTCTGTGCTCCACTAAGGGGATAAAGAGAAGAAGAAGAAAAATTAAGAAGAAAGAAGAACAAGATGGAATAGACGACAACACTCAAGACAAAATTATATAATTCATGTGGTAATGGAAGTACCACTTACGTTTAGCAATTAGTATTAGCAATCTTGAAGCTAAAAATAGAAAAGCCACCTGGAACGGATGGAATAACCAACGAAATTACCAAGAACCTAGGGACAACAGCCAAAACAAAACTGCTGCAGATTTTTAATAATTGTTAGGGAAGTGGCAAAGTTCCACAGATATGGAGAGAAGCAATCATGATACCTCTTCAAAAACCAGGAGAAGACAGTACCAATACCTCCAGTTGTAGACCAATTAGCCTTAACAGCTGTCTCTGTAAAACAATGAAATGCATTGTCAACCTTAGACTTCAACGATACATGTAAAGTGAAAACATTTTCACGCCACAGCAGGCAGGCTTTAGACAGTGCTACTCTACAGAAGACAAGACAACTTACCGCTAACAGGAAAAAGAACATGCCTTCCAAAAAATAAACAGTGCTTGTGGAATGGATAGATTTGAAGAAAGCTTTCGACAAGATCTGGAAAGAAAGTCTCATGAAGAAACTGATAAACTACAAAGTGAATGGGAATATGTACAGATGGGTAAAATCATACTATTCAACAGAAGAGCCTGAGTACAGATAGAATGACTCAAGAGCAAGAAAGTCTTGCTTTGCCATGGTGTTCTCTAAGGTGGTGTCCTGTCCCCAACACTGTTTCTGGTCTACATCAACGACCTAGTTGCTGAACTACCCTATGGTATTAAAGCTGTGATGTATGCTGACAACATGGCACTATGGTGCACAAATAAATATGCAACAGTAACCACCCGATTGCTACAAAAATCCATAGATGCAATGGCTGCATAGGCTGATAAATGGTGTGTCAGCATCAACATAGACAAGTGGAGCACCACTCTTCTCACCCCCCCCCCCCCCCCAACCCAAAAAAAAATCAGGCGACATTTAGAAAAATATAATGCCACTAAGAGAGGATAAGGAGCCTACATACCTCAGAGTCACGTTTGATGATAGGTTAACATGGAGAAAACACATCAACAAGGCAGCAACCAAAACCAGAAGCAAGATAGCTATCTTAAGAAAACTAAATGGAACAACATGGGGTACAAATGGGAAAATACTTAGGGAAGTTTATTAACAAAGTGTACGACCACACCTTGAACACGGGTCTACTGCATGGAGACCAGCATCAAAAACCAAACTACAAAAGTTAGACAAGGTGTCTAATCAAGCGCTCAGTCATAACAGGTGGGATGAAATCAACACCTATAGCTGTGATGGAGAAGATGGTGATGACTCAAACACTGACAGAACGAAGAGACACTAAGATACTAATACAAGCAGAAAAGTTTCTTAGCATGTCTGAACACTATATAAGAAAGAATCTGAAATTTAGCAATCTGGTGACTAAAAAGAAGCAGTTTCATCCACCAGGCCCAACAACCCTGCAGGCAAACTAATGGTCTGCCTGCAACCAATAGCCATTTAAATGTTTTTCCAGATCATACCCCTTGGAAAGAGGATTACAAGTTGCCAATATACATCCAGACAGAAGTGAAAAGAGTATTCAACAAAGAAGAACAAAAGAGTGTGCAATGTGAAACAGCCACACTTGCTCTACTCGATGACAAATACCCACATAATCTTTGGGTTTGTGTCTACATGGATGGATCTGCGCAAAACGCAAACAGAAATGGAAGAGCAGGAGTGTATATTCAGCATCAAAATAATACTATATATACAGCCGAAATACCTACAGGAAAGTATTGTCACAGCTTTGATGCAAAAGTTCAAGCCATCAAAATAGAAGCAGAAAAACTGTTAAATATATATATGTCATATTTCACAATCCCTGGTATTTCTGACAGATGCAAGATGTGTTTCAGGCACTCCAATCTGGACAACTACCTGCTATACAAATACCACTCTCCAAACTAGGCAGTCGGTGTAATGTAACTATGCAATGGATACCATCCCACTGTCGAGTTTCCGGAAATGAAAGAGCTGAGAAAGGTGTCAATGAAGAATACGTACCAGTCTCTTATCAGCAAAAGAAGAGAATAATCAAATCAATTAGAAAGCCACCAAAACCAACACAAGTTGATTACCATTTTATGGACAGACCAGAGCAAGTTATTATTCTATGCCTTAGAACAGGACACAATCGACTTCGCAGCCACATGTTAACAAAATTTAAAATTAGCGAATCAGCCATGTGCACATGTGGATTGGTACCTGAGACAACAGATCATGTCCTTCAAGACTCCCAAATACAATATATCAAGGCAAAACATCAGTGCAAGTCAAACTTGAAAGGTCGCTGAGTGAATTATAAAAGACAGTGAAGTTCATACTAGAGACAAAATTGCAGATATAGATAATTTATTTCAAGCGAATGAAAGAAGAAGAAGAAAAAGAATGTGACTGCAGAACAAGATTTAAGATAATTAGTGATCTAGAAGTGGACAGTAAGGAACATTTTTGCTGATATTAACATCATATAGCAATAACATTACCCAAAAAAACTTGTGAATTATGCAAGCATTACAAATTTTTAAAATTACCTACTTCAGATACTGATTTCAGTTTTATACTGTTAGTGGGTCCAACTTCAAACACTGGTTCCAGTTCTAAACTGTTACTTGGTCCCACTTCAAAAACTGGTTCCAGCTTTATACTGGTACTTAGTCCCACTTCAGAAACTGGTTCCAATTTTTTATTTTCACTTGGCAGCAGACTATGTGACTTCTTGCTTCCTGGGATTAATTAATAAAACAGTGATCAGTTATGTCGTATACATACTTTTTATAAAGTACATTAATATATGTAAATAGTAGGCTTCAGCATATTTTTATGTCTTTATAAAGATACCGTTCATGAACAATTTTGAATTTATAAAGGCAAGCAGATAGTGAATTGAATCATCGCAAAGGTCCACTGTTTGTGTAGTTATTCTCGTGTTTTTTTGCCCAGACATGAAAGTGATGATAGCAGCAAAAGAACAGAAAAACAGGCTAGCTCTGCAATAGCTGTAGATCATAAAATTATGGATCACACTGATTTTGTTAGGCTACCAGGCCAAGAGTCAAGGTTCCAACTTCATAGCAAAAAGGACACCATACACTTGATCTTCTTCTGTGCCAGTCAATAAAGCACAGAATACCTATTGCTATGGGATTGTGAAAATATATTTGGGGGAAAAAACAGCAGCCACAGCTTGCACACACCTCAAATGCATAAAGAAGCAATCAAATTTGTTAAAACCAGATATCTGTCACTAAAGTTTCAATTCATAGTTGACAGGAAAAAGCAGCAGTCCTTACAAACCAGCAAGTGCACAGGCATTATTGCATAAGGACTGCAGTGTCTATGAGCATTATAATATATAACTCCAAGTATCAGTGTAGTTCACATTCATGACAAACTTATTACAATGAAGAATTGGTGAGGGGGAAAAAGAGAGGCGCCGGGGGGGGGGGGGGGGGGGGGGGGGGGTTGAAATATACCTCATCACATGGGCAATACATTAAACAGACCAGATAACTACTGTGTAACATACATTAATCATATATAAATGAACATAAATGGTTGAGGATTAATGTCACTGCATAAGGCACACCGCCAACTAGATGGCAACCAGCCATTCCCTATCTTCTCTTCTGAATATGCAATTTACAACACACATTTACAGAAGCACACACTATAAGCATTCTCCATGAAATCTGCAGCTCACTGTGTCCAACTGTGCACTCAGTTCAGCAGCTGGCCGATAGAATAGAATTTCACCTTTGTTGCCCAATCCAGTCTTCTGCTGGACGGTTTAAACCCCAACTTTCCATTGGACTACTGGGGAAAACACCGTCACCACATAAAGGTGAGTCTGGCTAGATCACGAAAGGTTAAGGGACTTTGACAGATAGGAGATTACTGGGATTTTAGGGACAATGCATCCACATCATTGCTAAGAATAAGAGATTTGAGAGGCAAGAAAGGCACACCAGATGTTATACTAGCACTTGCCAACTAGTTAAGAAATAGATGAATATAGTGGGGGGACGGAGTGTAGCGTGTGATTATTGGGGAGGGGGCGTAAAAAGGGAGTAAGGAGGTAATCACAAAAATATCTAGGGTATCACTGTTCTTCATTCAGACAAAAATGACTACAGGAGAGCAAACAGTTAATGACAATAGGAACATCATAATAAACCAAATACAGATGACAAGTTGTATCATATACCCATCAACAGTGTCTACGAGCCACACAATTTATGGCTCCACTATTAGTCTAGTTCTCCAGGACGAACTCATTACAATAAAGAATTGGTGAAAGGGGAGGGCTGAAATATTACTTTTGACACACTGAAAAAAAAAAGACCAGAAAACTGCTGTGTAACATACACATATCACACACATAATGAACATAAATAGCTGAGGTTTAATTATACAGAGCACTACCCTACTGCAACATATAATTATAATGTTAGTTAATAATCAGTATAGAAGCAAGTGATTTGCTTTAAAAGGTTTGTAAATGAATAACATGTTCTTTCCACTTACCCACTGAAGCCTGTTTTCAAGGAACTTTGCCAGTATGAGGTACTTTAACTGATAAGCAGGCTGGCAGTTCAGGAAACACTGATGGATATGCATTTGATTTTAAAATAGGATTCTTTCTGGGTATCTCATGTTCAACACCAGATTTATCTGTATACTTTTTGGAAAGAATCACATCACTGGGAAGAAAATGATGATGACATACTGCGCTGTTTTTAGTCGGGGACCATTGTTTACGTGGTATGCACTTTATCCATTTTTCCTTCATATCAGAATCCTGTGGAAATTTAAATACATTCACATATTGATCACTGGTCTTAAATGTCAACAGTTGAGTGGTGGTCGGCGAAGAACATCAGCCTCACGCGGATACGACGTCTCGGGAACGGTATTCGGAACAAAATGTTCGCTGAGGACGGCTAAATCTTTAACCAGGTAGATGCAGAAAGTCTGGGCCTAAAACCTATGATGTCACAAAAATTCCCCGTAAGGGGAAATCGGTCGTGGCTGTTGTGATGGCTTGAACTTGATGCCGCAGTGCTGGTGACTCTTGAGCTCTACTGCGCTAATTGAATGTTTCATACATACATATCTAATATACCTACATGCTGCAGCTTATATTCACATTCAATAAAATGTAATTAGTTAGCAGTGATATTCAACATTAACACGGGAAAAGAAAACATAACAATAACATTGATATTAACAAGAAGCCGCCATGATTCCAACGCCGGAAGTTGCTACAAATACTAAATCGACTCCGCTCTACAAGTTCCCGGGCTGCCAATAGGATTTTTTCTTTTTGTTTTAACTCAGCTAAGCTGAAGAAAACCCCAAGCAGCACATAGACACCCACACACACACAAAACAGATTGCTAAAATGTACACAATTTATAGTTACAAAATGAAACATTTACCACTTTTATATAAGGATATATTTAAAAATCAGAAGGAGACAGTCATCATTTTTCGGCAATGTTAGGAGAAGAGGGAAAATAGAACATGTTGTGACCACTAGAAAGATCTGTGGAAGGAGAGATAGAGGAAGAAAACGAGAGAAGATTCTTGACAATCTTGTTACATAGCATGGAGGTGTGTCGGCACACGAATTGATACATACTGCAGGAGATCGCAGATTGTGGAGAGGCATGATCGCCCACGTCAGTCGGTAAGGCACCCAAAGATGATGAAGATTATATTTTTAAAAAGAAAACAAGAGTTCTCCAAGGCGTCATAATAAAAACCCAGATCTGCGGGGGGGGGGGGGGGGAGGCAGCATTGATAGCCCTATTAACAACCCTAATGAACGAATGAAGAATGTTTACTACACTCGGGATTTCCCTGAATTGAGCTGAATTGGAGTTGAGTCAAGAATTGACATCACAGCACTCAGGGCATTCCCATCTCCGCTCCGTCCCCAGCGCAGAGTACCAATACTAATGGTACCGGTTGAAGTCTGGTTATATGTCCGTCTTGACTTTCCCCTGAGTATAGTTAGCCAGCTCACGAAGGCGGTGGCCAGCTAGACCCTCTGGTTACACCCGGGTACTTCATTCTCTCCAGGCCATAACAATTCTGTTTCTCTTCCGACTCCATTGCTTATCCCTAAAAGGCTTTGACGACATCCGCCTTGTCATCAATTCATCGCCGAACGGTGCAGATCTAGCCAGTCTGTCAGCCTGTTCATTTTCCACCGCGCCAGCCTAGTCTGAAAAAAAGATCAAAATTATGCTCGCTAACCGTGACCTTCCCACTGAAGCTTGCCACTTTTCTCAGCATTCTTTCAGAGTCTGATACAGTTACGATATGTGTTTGCATCTTGTTCTCTAGCCACCAGAGAGCTGCAGATATCGCCTCCACCTTCTTTCTCAAGCTAGATGTTGTGGTGTCATTTGATAGGTTGCCCTGCACTAAAGATTTTCTATTGGCATTCGCTACGAACTCCCAGGCGCTTTTATTCCCTCTCAATACAGAGCCATCTGTATAGATAATCAGATCACGTGGACTAGAATTATCGTGAATCAACTGTTGGACTTCCACCTCCGTAGCTCCCGCTAGCCTCTCTGCTCTCCCAGCCTAATGTGATTATGACCCTACACAAATCAGACTTTTCCTCTGTTACTCTTACCCACTCCTCTCCTCGCCCAATGTATTTCAGCATGCATACTTGTCTTATTGTGTCTTCTGCTTGAGCCATCTATGATTTTTCCCTTTCAGACTCTGACCCTTAACTGCATCCAAAGCTTAATACAACTGGTTGCTGGTTATCTGCAGCTACTTTGAAGTATGACTTAGCCTGCAGCACATTTAGCCTATCTGGAAAAGTTGACAATGCAAGGATGTTTCGCATGTATCGCGACATTCCCACACTTTCTTCAATAGCCAATGATGAGTCGACATGCTAATAGCAGTAGCTAGAACATCTGATTGTAAGTTCGCCCCTGTTTCTCTCTCAGCGTATTATCTTCCGGAACCTCTAACCCCCCCCCCCCCCTTTCCGAACACCCGTTTCAGAACTAGAAACGTTTTCCGCCCTAAACAAACACTGATTGCCCTTTCATTGATGCTTGGTGACCTTTCACAAAATCGCTAGTTTATGTTACAGAGGTGTCACGTTGTGTTATCTTCGATGCTCTGAGTTTTCTATACTGCACTTCATGTGAGCGACCATTTACACTTTGTGTTTGACTAATTATTGTGAGTGGCCAGCGAAACTGCGTATATTCTAGCCTTCTAGAACTTCAAGTACGACATGGATTTATTTCAGGTGTCAGCTTTGACGAGCGACAAAGAGAGTCACGTTGCTTTTCTGCAGCAAGACGGCTTTTTAGCGCCTGTCGCAAAATGTTACGAATTCTGAAACCACGGCTGGACTTTTGTGGGGCGTAGGTAGAGTCAGTGAGGTGGGGGTGTTGGGTTTAGCGCTAGTTCGAGATGTTGTGGGGTTGTCAAAAGGGGTTATCATCATCATCATGTGCCTTGCCGACTGGCGTGGGCGATCATGCCTCTCCATAATCCGCGATCTCCTGCAGCATGTATCAGTTCGTGTGCCGACACACCTCCATGCCATGCAACAAGACTGTCAAACATCTTCTCTCGTTGTCTTCCTCTATCCCTCCTTCCACAGATCTTTCCAGTGGTCACAACATGTTCTATTTTCCCTCTTCTCATAACATGGCCGAAAAATGATGACTGTCTGCTT